GTTGGTTTATATATGCTTTTAGGTCTTTCAGGGTATGTTTGATGAAATTGGGTGTGTTGACATTGGGTGCGTACAGATTGATGATTATTATTTCCTTTTGGTCTATTTCCCCTTTTATTAGTATGGAATGTCCTTCTTTATCTCGTTTGATCAATGTAGGTTTGAAGTCTACTTTGTCAGAGATAAGTATTGCTACTCCTGCTGTTTTCGGGGGCCATTGGCTTGGTAAATCTTCTTCCAGCCTTTCATCCTAAGCATATGCTTATTTCTTTCGGTGAGATGAGTCTCCTGTAAGCAACAAATTGTTGGATCTTCTTTTTTAATCCATTTTGTCAAACGGTGTCTTTTGATGGGTGAATTAAGTCCATTAACATTAAGCGTTAGTACTGATAGGTATGTGGTGATTCCTGCCATTTAGTTATCTTAGTTGTTTGAAGGTTTGATTGTGTGTACCTAACTTGATGTTACTCTCTACTGTCTTGCTTTTTCTTATCCTGTGGTTTGGTGCTGCCTGCCTTTTCATGGTTAAGTTGGGTGTCACTTTCTGTGTGCAGGAATCCCTTGCAGAATCTTTTGTAATGGTGGCTTTGTGGTCACATATTGTTTTAGTTTCTGCTTATCATGGAAGACTTTTATTGCTCCATCTATTTTGAATGATAGCTTTGCTGGGTAGAGTATCCTGGGGTTGAAGTTATTTTCATTCAGTGCCCGGAAGATCTCACCCCACGCTCTTCTTGCTTTTAATGTTTCTGTTGAGAAGTCTGCTGTGATTTTGATGGGTTTACCTTTGTATGTTACTTGTTTTTTCTCTCTTACAGCCTTCAATATTCTTTCCTTAGTTTCTGAACTTGTTGTTTTAATGATGATATGTCGTGGAGTAGTTCTATTTTGATCTGGTCTGTTTGGTGTCCTGGAGGCCTCTTGCATTTGTATGGGAATATCTTTCTCTAGATTTGGGAAATTTTCCGTTATTATTTTGTTGAATATATTACGCATTCCCTTCGCTTGCACCTCTTCTCCTTCTTCGATGCCCATGATTCTCAAGTTTGGTCTTTTGATGGAGTCAGTGAGTTCTTGCATTTTCTTTTCACAGGTCTTGAGTTGTTTAATTAATAGTTCTTCAGTTTTTCCTTTAATTACCATTTCATCTTCAAGTTCTGAGATTCTGTCTTCTGTTTGTTCTATTCTGCTGGATTGGCCTTCCGTTTTGTTTTGCAGTTCTGTTTCGTTCTTTTTTCTGAGGTTTTCCATATCCTGGCTGTTTTCTTCTTTATTGTTGTCTATTTTTGTCCTGAGTTCATTTATCCATTTATTCATTGTGTTCTCTCTTTCACTTTGGTGTTTATACAGTGCTTCTATGGTTTCCTTTATTTCTTCTTTTGCTTTTTCAAATTCTCTATTTTTATTGTCTTGGAATTTCTTGAGTGTCTCCTGTACATTTTGGTTGACCCTATCCAGTATCATCTCTATAAAATTCTCATTGAGTACTTGTAGTATGTCTTCTTTTAAATTATTCTTGTGGGCTTCATTGGGTCCTTTGGCATAGTTTATCTTCATTTTGTTGGAGTCTGGATCTGAGTTTCTGTTTCTTCATTCCCCTCTGGTTCCTGTACTAATTTTTTGCTGTGGGGAAACTGGTTTCCTTGTTTTTTCTGTCTTCCTGTCATTGTCCTTGGTGTTGTTACTGTCCCTGTACTGTGTGTAATTAAGTATTTTCTAGCTTGTAATAATAACAATGGTAATATTGAGAATGGAAGAGTGAGCTGAGATGGAAAGCAAGAAGTTAAAGAAAAGGGGAAAACAAATATACAGACAAGAGGGAGAAAGCAAACAAGGTATCAGACAAGAGAGTTTCAAAGGTATAAACAGGGAGTGTTAGTGTACTAATCGACAGTAAGCTGAACAGACAATAGAGAGACAGAGAGAGGATTGAAAATCAAAGATAAAAAAATAAAAAATAAGTATATGAAAGTAATATCTATATAAAAAATGAATTAAAATAAAATGGAAAATAGAAAATTAAAAAAAAAAAACCAAAAAACTTCCAAGTTTATATGCAATGCAATTTCAGTCTTAATAATTTGGATGTCCGTCTCAATCTCCAGTCCTGGAGTTGGTGCCTCAGATGTTGTTCTGTAGTTGTCTCATCAAAGGGGATGCATAAAGTAGAACAAAACTACACTCACACACACACAGAAAAAAAAAAAGCCCCACCAAGTGTCCCCAGTTCAAATGCAATACAGTTTCAGTAAGTTTTTCGGCTTGCAGGTGTAATTCGGTTGTTCTCTCATCAAAGGTAGGGAGAAAAAGAAAAAAAAAGCGTCTGGAGGCAGTTCTGAGAATGGTATCTGCAACTGTGGCTTGCCTGCCTGCTGCTCTCAGCCTGTAGCTGGCGGCGTTATTTATGCAGATCTCTGGGGTGAGCTAGCACTCACCTGGTCCCACAGGCTTTGTTTGCTCAGAGTTCTCCTGTGCGGGGGGGGGCCTCTGCTACAGGCTTTCCCCTTTCCAAGCACTGGGAAAGGTGACACTGCCCCGCGTTGTTAGGCCTGCGTGTTTATTTACAGTTCACGTGGGAAGTGGGTCTTCCCTCCTCTCACAGGCGTCCCCGCTCCTGGTTGCTGGGCGCGCCCCGCTCCCGCCAGAGCCTCTCCAGCCCACCCGGCTTGTTTATTTACAGTCCCGGGAAGGATTCCCTTCCCCCAATCTTCAGCGCTCAGGGCACCCCACCCTCTTTCCAGCGTGTCTTAACTGTTCTTATTGCTTAGTACTCAGTTTCTCTTTTTTTCCTGGGTGGAGGTCAGTCTGTCCAGGGGGCTATGCTGCTCTGGCCCAGGCTTGTCTGTGGGGCTACCGCGGAACTGCGAAGCTCACCTGGTCCGCGTCTTCCCAAGCCGTATGGGGTCCGGTCACTGGCGGCCCCGGGGGCCCTCCTCGGTTCTCCGTTTAACGTGAAGTGGAGATTCTCTGTGCCGGCTGGAGATGTGGAGGAGTCAAAGTTATGCCTTTTCTCGGTGATTATGCCTGCAAAGTGTGTCTCCAGCGTCTCTCCAAGATTTCACTATAGGAGGGTCGCTTTCTGCTTCCTACCTCTAGCCGCCATCTTTTTAGTGCTCCAATGTGAGCTTCTTTGGAGATAAGATCTTTACAGAAATATTCAAGCTAACATGAGTTCATTAAGATGGGCACTAATCTTTTATTGTTGTGCTGGGGGTACATTGTGACATATGCAGTTCTTACCATACATCATAGTTGAATTCGCCCCCTCCATCATTCTCCTTTATTTATCCTTCCCCCATTCCTGGAATAGGTTCAACAGGTCTCATTTTTCCATTTATATAAAGGAGTACATAGTATTTCCACCATATTCACCCCCTACACCCTTTCTTTATATCCTCCCCTCTCCCACTGATACTAACCCCCAGACAGGACCTGTTATGCCTTCCTGTTTTCTATTTTTGAAAAAAAAAAGACATTTTTGTTTGTTTAAAGTAGCTATACAGGGTGTTTCATTGTGACATTTACATGGATATATGTATGGTAACCTGAATTGGCGCATCCCTTCTATTTTTCTCCTTTCTGTCTTAGTCCCCTTCTTATGGTGATTTTAACAGGTTTAAGAATTCTATATTCATTCTTGTATAGAAAGTACATCAACCATACTAAGGAATCTTAACTTCCTTCTCTTACCCTTCCCCTCTCATATGTGACTTCTCCTTAGTGTGACCTGTTTTTCATAAAATTGCTTGTACTTGTATGGGTCTATACTCCATATATGAGAGACGACACACAGCCTTTGGCTTTCTGAACTTGACGAACTTCACTTAAGATGATGTTCTCAATTCCATCCATTTATTTACCTACAAACAACAAAATTTCATTCTTCTTTATGGCAGAATAAGATTCTATCATATATAAGTACTACATTTTCTTAATCCATTCATCAGTAGTGGGCATCTTGGCTGTTTCCATAGCTTCACTACTGTGAATAATGCTGCAATAAACATGGATGTGCAGGGGTCTTTATTGCAACCTGACTCACATTCCTTCAGGTACATCCTTAGGAGTGGAATTGCTGGATCATATGGCAGTTCTATTTTTAGTTTTTTGAGGAGCCTCCATACTGTTTTCCACAGTAGTTACACTAATTTACATTCCAGATGGACACTCATCTATATGACGGATGTTCTTGTAAAAGGAAGAAATCTAGACACCAATATATGTAGAAGACAGTATAAAAAGATATAGGGAGAAAGGGGCAGTCCAGAAGCCAAGGACAGGGAGTTGGGACACACTTTTCCCTCAGCCCACAGAAGGAACTGATTTGTGGACACATTGATTTTGTTTCCAGAGCTGTGAATTATTTTAAGCCACCCAGTTTGTAGTACTTCGGGCAATCAGATCTGGGAAGCGAGCATGCTGATGAAGATGAGGCAGTAATACTTCCCCGATTCCTGAGCCACGTGGTCTGATGCTGGGCCCAGGGAGCTATTTGAAGCCTGGTCAGGGAGCAGTTGTGAATTCTGTCAGGATCTGACACTTCTCTGGCCTTCTCTTTGCTGTGAAAACTTTTTTGGCATTTTAATATGTTTGTACATAAGGATCCAATGTTGTTTGTGAGAAGGTAGCAATTGTTCCCAAGATTTTTAAGTATATTCCTGTATATTTTAAATGGTGCTATGTTTAGTGTGCCTGTGAACATCAATAAGAAACAACATTTATTTTAAAAAAAGAACATCAGATTCCTTGTTTTGAGTTTCAACTTGAGCAAAGCTGAAGAAAATGCCAAAATAATATGCAAATATTAATATGCCATATGTAAGGCTTCTTGAATTTTTTGGGGGGGTGGGGGAGCTGTCAAGACATTTCAGGCTTGCTGTCATTATTCCTGGGTATTTATCTTATGATTTTAAAAATAGAATTGGCTCTGTAGTTCATTATATTGGAAATATTCCCAGTGGCTCCTACCTCCTCACCATGACTTCTTTCTTTGTTTGCAGGAAACTTTGACTGGGTAGGGAATGATTTTACCCAGAATGCAGGCACAGGCCTTGTTATCAACCAGGCAGATGTGAGGAACAACAGAAGCATCATCAAGCAGCTGAGAGATGTATTTGAAAGGGACTGGTATTCACCTTATGCCAAAACCTTACAGCCAACCAAACAGCCGAACTGCTCAAGCCTGTTCAAACTCAACACCCCCTCCAACAAAACTGCCACTTACACTGCAAGTGGGAGGGAGTCCTGAGCCTGTGAGGCAGATGGACAGATGACAGACCAGCTCCTTGTTTCCTATTTAAAACATATAAGGGCTGGAGAAGAGAAAACAATTTAATATTGTCTTTTTTTAGGAAAAAAAAAGCACACTTATTAAAAATGTTCTCTGAATGACATGTAATATCTAGCTAACAATATCTTGGCACCATATACACTAAATTTAAGACTTTTGTATTGTTACTTCTGACAGAGAATGTCATTCTGGCTGAGAAGTTAGTTTTTATGTTTGCATACAAATTTTAAGACTGATTCCTGTTTCTTATTCCTTTCTGGTTTTAGAACTTTTCTCTGCTGACCCACCTGTCAGTTCTTAGGAAGCTTAGCATGAGATGAGCTCTTTTCTTAACACCCTTCTGACAATCGCTGACTTAGAGGAGGGTGAGGATTTCGCCTGGGAGAAGAGACTGATCAAACCCAGTATTTACCTCTGTAAATCATCTCCAGGATCTACCCAGTCATCTAAGCACGAATAGCTTGCACCTCATGCCAGCTCTCAAAACTCCTGAAAAATGCCCTTTTTGTCTCCTGCTCATTGTCATCTATCACCTTAGATTTTATTTGGTATCACTTTCTTTCCTCTTATTACATAGTATCCCTCTATTCCCCTCAACATTACCTCCAAGTATGATAACATTTTTTGAAAATGTATGAATTCCTCAGAATGAATACAAAAATGGAAATAGCAGTCTCTAATTTTCACCTTTCAACTGCATTCTTTTTCCCTACTGAATTGGTTATTTTAAAACCACAGTCAGCAATGTGTATCCTTTCTCTCAAGCTCAGAAACATGATGTAGCCACCTGCTAATATTCAGCAAGTCTGCATTTTGAGAACAAAGTAGGTTTTTCACTCTTTGTTTAGTTTAGAGTAATATAAAGGAAAGGTTTCTATTCATCAGTGGGTTTTAATTTCTTTAGAATCATTATGCCGTTAAGAGTATGCCAGCAAAAGTTTATAGAGCTGTTTAATATACCTTCTGCTATTTAATATACCAAATGCTTTTCAGAGAAATGCAATTTAAATACTGTGCTTAACATATTTTACTAAGAAACGGAAATATTGGATTATTGTTCTATAATATTATTGTGTGTTGTTTTATACCTATACAATATATATTCCTGTATTAATGGAGACTGTTGCTGTATGACAGAGAGGTGTGCCCTCTTCAGAGCCCCGAGCGTGTGGCAAGGATGCCCACACAGGATGTACATTGTGGCACATGACTCTGGCTCAGAACAGGGTCCTTTGCTCCTTGTCCTCGGGTTTCTACTGCTAATGCAGAGACAGTAATTCTCACCTACCTCGCAAGGATGTTGTCATGGTAGGAGAAAGTTATAACTTGTTTTCAAATCAAAAGGACCTATATAAATGCTAAGCATTATATAATATTTTAAGTATCATATAATCTTTTTTCTTGAAATAATCTTTGTGGTATCCTGATAGAATCAACACCATGTCCTCTCCAAGAACCCAGAAGGGAAAACAAACCCACAGCTTCCATTCGCAGATGTGAATGACGAGAGCACAGCAAAGCAACACCCTGGTGGAGATCTGAACAGCCCGACATTTTCATCAAACATTCTGTCAGCCTACCATGGCATAAGAAATATCAACACAAAACTAGATGTGCTAGGAACCACCCTTGAGGACCAGCATGTACATGTCTTCAGAGCAAGGTCAAGCAGTCTCATCTTCTCATTTGCATTTCTAGAGACTTGAGTTGGAATATGCAAAGTGAGTGGTGGAGGAACCTATGACCTTACCTGATGGGCTCATTTCATGACAAATGGCCATTGTGGATCATTTAGTGGTCACCTCATTTCCTTTCTTATTGTTCCCAAGCACATTGCTTCTCTGATATTTAACCAGTCAGGAGCATTGGAAGGGAGCTGTGTTTTTAAGAATAGTGTGTTTTTATAACTGATTGGGGGATTCTCAGTGAAATTCTTCATCAATAATATTGCAGCCAGCCCATAGACAATATTTTACCATACACCCAGTCCTTGTTTGAATTGGCATTATCCTGCCAGTTGTTCAAATAAAAATGGCTTTGGTGATGATTTAAAAAAGGAAAAAAGGGTCAGGTGTGGTAGCCCACACCTATAATTCCAGCTATGTGGGAGGCAGAGATCAGGAGGATCACAGATCCAAACCAGTCCAGAACTCCCCCCCAAAAAATAGTTAGTGAGACTTCATCTCCACAAATAAGCTACACATGGTGGCACGTTCTGTACTCTAGGCTACATGGAGGCATAAATAGGAGAATCTTAATCCAGGCTGACCTAGGCAAGAACACTAGACCCTACCTGAAAAATAAGTAAAGCAGAAAGGGCTGCAGGCGTGGTTCAAGTGACAGAGGGCTTGTCTAGCAAATGCAAGACCCTGAGTTCAAAAGCCATTACTGCCCAAAACAAGAAAAACAGCAAAGAGTAGATGTGAAGACAAACAAACCTACCAGTTCACCTTGGACAGACAAAAGCAACCTGGGTTGAAAAGGACATCTGAGAAGAAGAAAAAAATGTAGCTACCTTGTTGGCTCCCAACTTGTCTCCTGGAGTATTTGTCCACAGTCATGGGACAAGTGTAGGTCACTTTACTGTCACTGTCTTTTACAGGCATTGGTAGAAAAAAGGAATGCCATTTTTGGTGGGATGTTACTGGGGGTTGAACTTGGCCTTGCACTTGCTAGGCAAGTGCTCCTCAAGTTGAGCCATGCCCCAGTCCTTTATGCTTTTATTTATTTTGGGACAGGGTCTCTCACTTTTTCCCTGGACTGACCTGGATTGCAATCCTCCTATTTATGCTTCCCACCATAACTGTAATGACAGGAGAGTGCCATCTTTTACAGAATCGCTACCACTGCCATTTCCTTCTGAGCCCCATAAACATGGCAGCCCCAAGAAAGCTGTACTAGGTTTCCTGCTATGCACCAGGAATAGCAGAACCTTGCTTGGACCCAGTGATCCACCTGGTCAGGGCAGCAGTGAGGTCACTGACCCAAGCAAGGAAAATGGCCCCAGTCAGAGTGCCCAAAGTGGGTCCATTTCCTAAGAGAGCATTTCATTCTGCAAATTTTTTTCTTTCATTTGGATGCTCTGTCTATCCCTCTAGAAGTGGCCTTCCTCTCTTTCAGACTTTGTGTCTATGCTAAATAAATTACTAGCTTCCTTCCACTCTGAATATCCTAGGAAATAATTCTCAAGAAAAAAAAGAGCAAAAACACTTTAATTTGACATTACTTGCAATTTCTCATAATGTCCATGACAGAAATTATAAGGAGGGTGACTACTAAACTCCATTTTTTTCCTCCATAAATATCCCACGGGTTATTTCCCAAGGGGAGGGAAAAGAAAATCAAACACAATGAAACTATATTTTTAATTTCTCTGCCACTAACACTAAACTAGTGCCTTATTTCTTCTCAAGCATTGATTTTTGAACAGAGACTCACAATATGGGAACACTTCTGCTTACTCTGGAGTCCATAAGATCTTTGGATGGGACAACCAGTTAAAAATCTGACGTAAGCAGACATTTTGTATGCAGCCTGCTCTTGTCTCAGTCCCAAGCTGCATAAATTTGTCACTCTCACATCAAATAGTTGGCACACATTCTCAAATATTAATACTGTTGGCTTACACAGCATTGTCACTGGCCACTCCTATGTCAAATAATTGAATCACAGCTTATCAAACCACAAAAGAGGAAGTGGAACATTTGAAACTGCATCTGTGCTCTGTAAATGCCATGCTTTGAGTACCTGAAAATGATAAAAATGAGACTCACCAAAGATGTCCCCACTGTCCTTAAGGAATCTTGTAGAGATGCTTCACAGACTTCCAAAGTTCTGTGAAGCATATGAAAACCAGTGTCTTTAAAAGTCAAAGCAGGCTCAATAGGAGAAACAAGATATGCAGAGACTTTTGCATTTGTGTTGTTCTGGGCACCACTTCTCCTACATCTGCTGTGGTTTTTCTCACATCTGATTTGTTTCTTAGTGAGATGAGTTGGATCACATTTTGGGTTGATCTGACCCTTTGAAAAATGTGTTTTTTTAATGCAGTTACTGGTTTGCTAAAAGTGCCTCATGAACAAGGGACTGACAGAAGCTCATTCCCCACCAACCTGTGACTACTCTCAAGTGACTTTGATTCATTCTGAAATTTTTTTGCTTGTAAAACTTTTATTGAATTAAATTCCAGGGGAAAACGTAAAAAGATTATAAGGATTTCTTGATAGAATCAGATCCAGGGTCCATCTGTCTCAGGAATTCTATCCTAGAATCTGTCCTTTTATTCCCCCCACATGCATGACCTTTTGTATATGTTTCTCTGTCCAAAACTCATTCCATTTCTTTAACATTTAAGAAATGTAAAAGGCTGTCTTCACTTGCAGTAGAAATTCAGCTACAAAGAAAGATATTTTGTGACTGGTTATTCAAATTCAGTCCCTTATGAACAGCTCCATACATTGTGAGTGGGTGTTCTTTTTTTCCCTCCTATACTTATTACCAATGAACGGATGCACTTTATTATAACCCTTTTAAAGAAAAATTAATGCAATTTGTACTTGGCCTAAGGAAGAGTGGATAAATTAATCCATATTCAACATTGTCCTGTTTGCAATGAATTGATGTCTTTCCTTTTCTTTTTATATGTTGTTCACCAAATAGCTGCTTAACATCTTTACTTTATTATTGCAAGTAAATGGAGGCTTTTTAATAGCCCTAAAGTCAGCCCCAATTCATAGCCAACCTTTCCCATTTGAGAAAATTTCCATCTGTGGCTGACTTACGAAAATATTACTTTTTATGATGGCTACATAAGTATTCTCTAGCAGTTTTCAAACTGTAAATCTGAGTTTCTTATTTGTGCTCAATTACCAGTCTTTTACTTACAGAAATCTAAAAGTTTATACACACTTAGGCTTTTTTGGCAATATGACAAAAAGAAATGTGAGATTTCAGTAAGT